CTGAGTACCTATTTGGTGTGTCATCAAAGTGTGGTATAGGTATTTCTAACAGAAGAGTTGAATGTATTACTAATGGTCCAGGACAGACTCAGAGAAGAGCAATAGTACTCCTGAAGAAGATGTACCAGCAGTAGATAGCTCCAGTAGATGGTAGCAGCAGCTAAGTGGAGTAGTTTCCAGATGCTGCTTCAGAAGTAGAGAGGAAAGATAGCTACAGAGTAGAGCTTCAAGAGATGACATCCGCAGAAGTGGAGTACAGTGAAAGTAGCAGGAAGATCTCTGGGATCACACCCAGGGATCTATGAGGGGTGGATATGAAAAGCAGTTGGACATTGCTAGTTGCTTGCAGTCAGAAAAGCAAGAACTGTTTCGAGTATGATGTGACTTTTCCTTCCCTAGTACTGTAAATTTCCTGTGAAGCAATTCTCCACTGTAAGAGATTGTTCCCCTTCATGTTTGAGAGACTGAAAATGTTTTCATTACTTGCTTTTTCTTATTACTTTGCAATTCTGTCTTAATTAAATGTCTTATTTATTTGATTTCTGGTTCCTGCTTTGTGGATTAGGTATAGAATGCCCTAAATGAGTCCTTCAGCCCCATTTGTGTAATTATGGTAATCCCAAATCATCTTCACATATATTGAACCTAGAGTAGCAAGGAGTTTTACAGTTAAGTAGGGCCCCTGTTAATACTCTTCTTACTATATCATTTGCCTCTTGTAATACCAAATTTCCTTGAAGGTTCAGCTCAAGTGCCACCTGCTGCAATTGTTAATTCCTCATAAAATCACTGGATATTTATTTTATTTATATCCTGTATTTACTTATCTGTGAACATAATGTATTCCCCTAATAGGAGATAAACTTGAAGTCAAGGACTATCCTCACATTTGAATTTTTATCCAAGCACCCAGCACATTGTAGGTACATAATAAATAATTATTGAGTGATTGAATTGAATTCAGCAAAAATATTAAGTTCCTACTATTTGTATATCAACACTTCTTAAACTGTGGGTCATGACCATTTGGCAACAGTAAAAGGCTTCTGAACATGCAATGACCAAAAATTAATTAAAAATCAAACCTGTAATTTTCTGGTGGTGCTTGCTGGTGGTGCATTGCAACTTCATTGCAGCCTTAGTTCTAAACACAAAGCATGCATATTTTACACTGTGCATGCCCTCAGGCCATGCAATGGAAACATGCAAAGTGGTCCCCAGTGGAAAAAGTTTAAGAAGCCCTGGATAGACCATACTGGGTCCTAGAGATAAAGTAAGATGAAATGAGATACAATATCCACTCTCAAGGAAGATAAGATAAATAAATAACTATAATACAAGTTTTATAAGTACAAATGGAGAAATCTAAATAGGGAGGAAGGGGATGTTAAAAAAAATAGAGATTGCATAAATATAGACTATTCATGGAATTATTTTTTATCTTTTATGAGGATGTGGATCCAAATCCTGACTCTGCTACTTCTACCATTTGTGTGACCTTTGTAAGTCCCATCATTTCTCAGGATCTGTTTCTTTATCTGTATAACAAGGGTGTTGCACTATATGATCTCTTAAGATTTTTTTTCTAGCTTAAATACTGTACATGGTCCAAAATATTTTTTCTGAATGTATACATTTTGAAACATATTTTGGTTACTACTTGGTTTTAATGATTTATTAATATAACCCATGTTGCAATAAAGATGCTACTTTAGAATCTGCCAGCTAATGACAGCATGGCAACAGGGCTTATAGGGGAGACGGCTTCTGAATTTTTGATTTTTGACTGTTTTTTAGGAAAGAAAGTTGCTAGAAGGAGTTGAGCCAAGTTGGGAGTATGGAAATTGGAATTTACTTCACATTTTGGGATCACGTGGCTGGGCATCACCTTTGATATTCTATTCCCCACCGTTCCCCTTCGGAGAGAGACTGAGACTAGTGGCTATTACTGTCATGGCAGCGAAGGATAATAGAGGTATTACTGGACTGATGCTGACCTTGTGAGTGAGATGACCCAAGATGACCCCCTAAATAATTTCCTCTTCTAGTGATCATGAATTGGGAAGGGAAGCAACCACCCCATTCTTTTGGAGTTTTTCTTTGGTTTCTCCCCTGAGAGGAGAAGGGAGAAAAAGCAACAAGCTTCTTGTGCCACTAGAAGCATTCACCCCGATTGCCTATATCTGGAAACGAAACCCCCTCCCCTTTACTCTCTGTCCTTTTGTTGCTACCCTTCCTTGCCATTTTATGTAAAGAGCATAAAGTGGCCTCATTGTATAGTTAATGTTAATGGCACCGATAAAGATTTGGAGGAATGGGCAAGTCTGTATAGAAACCAGACAGATTCCACAAAGCGATAGCAGCGTGAGTGATTTCCTCCTGGTCATTATGAACACTTTTGCATCTGTAATACTATTCCTTAGCCAGGTCAAATAATAAGCAGGAGCATTGGTAGCAGAGAGAAATCAATAACCTAAAGTGAATCATGCCTCTAGAAGTATGGAATACATTTTGTGATCCAAGCAGAATATTGGGGGGGGGGGCTTTGCCAGTATACATATTGCTCCCTCCCTAAAACTCTTTCCCTATAATTTATCCATGAGTGATGATTTTACAGGGTAAGAGACTGCCCTTAAACTCTGCCACTACCTGCTTCTATATTTATGTTCACTTTAATTAAATAAAACATGATTCAAGAGCCTGTTTCTAATATTTGAAGCTATTTTCTATTAAGGAGTAGTGCCAATCTAATTATATTAATAAGACCTAATGATAAATAGTGCCAGATAGTATTTTTCTTCTGGTTATAATCTGTGATCCTTCACCACTTTTTGATTCAACTCAATTCAACAATTATTAAATACCTACTATGTGCAAGACTCTGTGCCAGGTTATGGGGAGCTTAGGTATGCATGACTGTGCTTGAAATACAAAGACAGTTTCATTCTAGGTTTGGGTAAATAGAATTTCCTCTCTTGCCTTTCCTGGTGTCTGCTAGTACATAAATGGAATAGTCTATGGAATTGTATTAAATTTTACAAAGCAATGTCAACAAAATGAAACAAATATTTGACAAAAGGTACAACACTGAATGAATAAATGAATAAGTGAATGAATAAAACATTAAGTGCTTACTATGTGCAAAGCACCATGCAGAGTGACATAGATGCAAAAAGAAAATCAATAAACCCCAGTAGCTCTGTATCACCTCCAGTATCAAATACAAAATCCTCTGGTGTTCAAAGCCTTTTTATAACCTTGCCCCGGTCCACTTTCTAGTCTTCTTATACCTTACTCCCTGCTATGTACTCTTTGCTATTCCATGGAGACACTTCATCTCTCAACTCTAGGCATATTCTCTGGTTGTCCCCATGCCTGGAATGCTCTTCCTCTTTATCTCCACCTAATGGCTTCTGAGGCTTCCTTAAAGTGCCAACTAAAATCCTATTTTCTCCAGGAAACCTTTCTCAACCCCTCTTAATTCTAGTGCCTTCTCTCTTTTAATTATTTCCCATTTATCCTGTATATAGTTTGTACATATTTGTTTGCTTATTGTCACCCCCACTAGATTGTGAGTCTATTGAGGGTAAGGACTATCTTTCGCCTCTTCATGTATCCCCAGGGCTTAGAACAGTGCCTACCACATAGTGTGTGCTTAATAAATGTTTACTGACTTGCTTGACTGATTCGTATGTTTGTAAAGGGATCCAATATCTCTAGGTATGAGACCATGCCAGTCCTAGTAGGCAATTCAGAATTAGCCTGTAGTTTCTGGGCAGGGCCATTTTCTTTGATCTATGATGTGTACTGCTTCATTTTTCAGAACTAGAATAAAGATTGAGACCTATATGATGGTAAAAGATATTAGCACATCTCTTTGAATGTGTGTGCATACCAAGAGTGGTTTTGTGCATTATTAATAAACCCTGTAGTTAGTCAAAACTGAATATGGTTAGTTAAGTTTTATCCTCCCTAAGTATCCCTTGAAATCCATTCTTACAAATTTTCCAGTTTAGTGCCTGTCCCCTAGATTACTCCACACCCCTGATTTATTCTCTTTCCAATCTTTCCTGTTTGACTCTCAATGCTTCAATCTGCCTCTCGGTCCCAAAATTTGAAGCCCTTTGGTCATTCTAAACTTTAGTTCACCTTTACCTCCTCAAAGTCTTAGATCATAGATTTTAGAATTTTTGAACTGGAAGGGACCTTAGAGATTATCTAGTCCATGGGTATGGAGCCTGCAGTCCTCAAGTGCCACCCTTTGAATCCAAACTTCACAGAACAAATCCCCTTAATAATAGGATTTGTTCTGTAAAACTTGGACTCTGTCAAAAGGCCACACCCAAGGACCTAGAAGGCCACATGTGGCCTTGAGGCCGAAGGTTCCCACTCCTGATCTAGATCAATCTCATTTACAGATGAGGAAACATCTCTAAATGACACAAAAAGGTCTTAAAATCACAGTCTTAAGGCAGTTGCCTTAAGATTAAACTCTATAGAATTTATATTTGCAAACTTATTTGAGATTATGATAAAATTTATATGAAATTAAATATAAATAAAATTTATGTTACCAAAGAAGTCCTTTGAAAAGTATGACCCAAAGGATGAAAGATTTACAGGTAAAAGAGACCTTGGAGCTCCTCTCCTCTAACTCCTTCATTCTGAAGATGAGGAAACTAAAGACCAGAGAGGTTAAGGGATTTGTCCAAGGCTACACAACTTGTAATGACTGGATTCAAATCCAGGCCTTCTAACCCAAATCTATGGTGCTTTCTGCCACACCAGGTTAACGACTGGTGGTGAAGCATGAAACATCATTAATATGAGAAGATCTGAATATTTGCAACCTCTGAGCTTGGTTGGGATTTCCTTGAGAGTAGTAAAATATTTTGCTCACATCAGCCGTGTACTTCCTCCCGCCTGACTTTTTAAAAATAGGCAGACACTTCTTGGTGTGGTTACTGGTCTTTGCTTTGTTCTTGTGGTAGCAGAAACTATTCCACATAGAGTGCTCATCATCGACAAAGATAGCCACAGTAGTCACAGCTCCCATGAGCTAGAAGTCTGTAGTTCACAGAACTGCTACTCCTGCTTTGGACCCAACAGGAAGGAAAGAGAACACAGTCAGTTTCTCAAACCAAAAAGCAAGAGAGACTTCCTCATCTCCAGGGTATGCTACCCTGGGCTCCACTCCTAAGGTACATCAAAAGGTAGGACAGGCATTTTCAGTTTAATATAAAAACTTTCTGGTAGAGGCTGTTTCTTAAAATCTTCCAGATTGCTGAGCTGGCAAAAGGGGAGGCAATATAAGCTGGGGACTTGAATATATAGTAGGGTAGGTGGGAGATAAAGTGATGTCCTGAAAAGATGGCTAGATTTGGACTCGCAAGAACTGGGCTTGAATCCTAAAAATGTCCTTATATTTTATCTTACAAAGTAAAAAATAAAATGGAAAAAGGAGAGTTAAAATGACATGGAAGAAGTGATATTGGTGACGGCACCCTGGTAGAGTGGAAAGTGCATTGGCTCTGGAGTTAGCAAACCTGGATTCAAGTCCCACATTTGACCTTTTAGTACCTTTGTGATCTTGAGCAAGTTACTTGATCTGTATAGGGCTCAGCTTTCCCATCCTAGAATGGATGTAAATGGATTTCATGACTTCTGAGGTTCCTTGCAGATCTATGTTCTTCTGAAGTACATACTTATAAAATTAAGTGTAGCTGTAGGTGAAAAAGGTGTTAACACAATGTTATTGTGTACTTCTTTGGTTTCTAGGCCTTGATGGATTTCATTATTGAATATTCAGGAATCAGTCAACTTCATTATATACTTCTCTCCTAGAGGCTTTATAAATGCCCAGGATTATATGTGTGTGTGTGTGTAACACACACACACATACACACACACACACACATATGATTCAAACCCTAACTATCTTTGTTATCACTAGTGTGATGGGCAAGTCACTTAACCTCTCAAACCTATGAGAATACACAATTTTAAGGACCAGAGATTTTTTTTTTAATTATCAAAGAACTGGCATTTACCTCCAAATTTGTTTTAGTATTGATATAACTCTCCACACACCAACCCCTCTGCCATATTTCTTAATAGGGGAGAGAAAAAAAAAAGAAGAGTAAGGAAAATGGGGAAAAAAAAGATTAAAATTTAGAAATTTATTTAAAAAATTGAGAAATATCATGTTATAGGAGAGGGTCAACCTCAGGAAAACCCGGGTTCAAGTTCTGACTCTAACCCTTGGTGAGTCACCTAACCTCTGGGTTGGCTCCAGATTATTCTTTAAGCTCCTCTAAGGGGTGGGAACCTGCTGCCTCAAGGCCACACGTGGCCTTCTAGGTCCTCAGGTGTGGCCTTTTGACTGAGTCCAGGTTTTACAAAACAAATCCTTTAATTAAAGGATTTGTTCTGTAAAGTTTGGATTTAGTCAAAGGGCTGTACTTGAGGACCTAGAGGACCACATGTGGCCTCAAGGCTGCAGGTTCCCCACCCCTGTCTAAGTTATAGATGATTTGCTGATCTGTGATGGTGCAATTGTGTTGCTTTCACTAATGCAATTGTACATCTGAACTGAAATAAATAATTTGGAGATAAAAGTTAGAAACTGTCTTGAAAAAATTCTTCAATTACTTCCCTAGACCTATGGAAAACTATAGACACATTTGCAACTAACTTTACTTGTAGAAACTTTCCCATCAAATTTGTTTATTTTTAAGCTAAAATTACAGATCATAAGTAAACACATGGAAATCTATATGTTTTCGCCGCTCTAAGGGCATTTTGTCTTCTATCTCCTCAGTTTTTTTCTGATTCTCAAACAGCAATATGCTTAGTTGAATGAGAAAGGGTGTGAGTGTCTTAGGAAACAAATGTCTTTTCAAAATGTCCCCTAATCATATCATGTTACCCAAACTAAAACCTCCATGAAGTTATTTAAAACTCTAGAGGTATAATTTCTAGATATTTTCTCCTCCTTTGGATTTTATAATTCTCCTCTCTCCTAATACTGGTTTCCTCCTAATCACCTGACTAGTCCTTCTTAGTCTCCTATGCACAATTGTCATCTATGCCCTACCACACTAATCAGGATACAAATACAGGGCGTAGTTGTATGTGTATTTGTGATGTGTTGTCTTTGGAAAACTTCACCTGGAATGGAAAAAAAAAATCCCTTTTTTAGTATTTAAGTTTGAAGAGAGATATTTTATCCTAGTTGGGTTTGGAACTTTGGGGTTATGGGATTTCAAAGAAAAGAGTTTTTAACTGGTTATTTTCTTCTGGCTTAGCTGGTTGAACATTCAAGGACTCCATTAACAAAATTTATAGAAAGCCAAAGATGATGCATATCAATTACTGGTAAAATGTAAAGGCCAATTTAGTCATTCAAAATTTCCACAGAGCTCTGAAACTGTAAGTAAGTGGTATGATTGTGCTCTCCAACAGCAAAGATTCTCACAGAAGTGATTGTGGTAAACAACCATCTTAAGGAGTGGGTGGCCATTTCTCTGAAATGATCTGTCCTGTGAGTGGACTTGAGGTTGTGGGTTTGTGTTCTTTGAGAGTACATTGTAATTTCCCTCAAAGGCCTGGGCAGCAGTAAACTGTAATTATTTATACATTTCTGCTCCAGTTTGTTCTTTCTCAATTTCAATGTAGTTATTTTCTAACTTTCTGTGTCACACTTTCTTTTCCTTCAGTCTGATGACTAGCTTTTCACATGTAATAGATCCATTGGATGAAAAGAATAGGGAACTACTTCCTGAAAATGCAAGAACTTTGTTCCCACTCCCACTTTTCCTGCTTCCAGCCCTGACATTTTCTCTGATTTGTCAAATCAGATATTCCAAGTAAAGGTGGGCTATTATGTGTGTGGTAAGGGAATCTGGGGATCCAATTTGCCATTTAATCAGTGAGAAACCACCCAGGCAGCTCAATAAGTTGTTTATAACTTCGTCTTAGAGAAAGCTGCCTAGACTCCTGAGAGGTTGAATGATGTCCACATTTTCTTAAAGCTAGTTTTTATGAGAGGCAGGACTTGAATCCAGGCCTTTCTGTCTCTTAGTAAGACATTCACTATCCTCAACTTCCTTTTAGCTGAACAAAAATTTGTTACAGTTTCAAAATTCTAGCATGTGACTGGATGTAGGGCCACATATTCCTCCAAATATAGGTTAAGAATCCCTGCTTTCCTCCAAAGAATAGCTCAAGAATATGTTCCTTTATGGACTTTTCATGATTCCCTCATTCGTTGGCACCCTCTCCTTTTGGAAGTTATTTCGTATTACTTTGAATATACATGTATTTCCTTATATATGTGCATGTTGAATCCCTCCAGTAAAATGAAAGCTCCTTGAGGGAAGAAACTATTTTTTTTATCTTTGTTTTCCCTGTACCTTGCACATAGTAGGTCCTCAGAAATATTTGTTAAACTAAATTGTTGTTAAATAACAGGGGAAAGAAGGGTTAAAAAACAAACAAACCGGAAAAGGAAAATGGCCACTGTCCTAAAATGCTCCTTCCCAGCCTCTTCCACTACCCCCACTTCTCTCCTCCCAACCTGATTAGTTCCCTTGGAACTTGACTTCTGCCTGTATCCCTACTTTCTATTTACAGATTTGTGCTTGACTACTAAAGTCTTTACATCCTACATAAACTATAGCTGTGAAATTATTTAACCTGCCTTCTGTCTAGCCTTAGCTGCTTTGCCAGCTTCATTGGGAGTGGAGAATGGGGGTAAAATATTTCTTTACTTCCATGCTTTAAAAAAAAAACAACCCACAATATCCCTTGTTTTTATATCAACTCCATTTTCCAACATATTCTTTTCCCAACCAGAGATCAATCATTCTAACAAAAACCAAAAAGTCAGGTGAAAAAAACAGTTCATCAAAACTACTTCACATCAACTACTTATGATAGTGTATGTATTGTTCCACATTCATAGTCTCCCACTTTGCAAAGCTTGGAGTGAGAGGACATTCTCATATCTCTCCTTTGGGGCCATGCTTGGTTATTATAATTTCAAAACATTTGGTTTCCATTTTTTTTTGTACTTTCCATTTATGTTGTAGTAATCATGGTGTACATTGCTGTGTTCTCCATAGTCATTATTTCTTATGGCGTAGTAATATTCTATGACATTCATGTACTACAATTTATTAATCAATGAATACCATTTTGTTTTGTTTTATTTTGTTTTGTTTTAGTTTTGTTTAGTTTTGGTAGTGATTTTTTTGTTTTGTTTTGCTACTAAAAAAACTGCTATAAATATTTTTGTATATATGAGACTTCTCTGGGGTATATGTCTAGCGATGGAGACTCAGCCATTTCTACTCAGCCTCAGTGTTGGTGAGACCTTCATTCCCAGCTCCAAAAACACTCTCCTAGATACCTCATTCTGTCTCTAGAAACACAGAGCAGGACATCTTGGGGTTGAGGGAATGTCCTTTGCTCCCTTGGTATTCCTATAGTACTTAGTACAGATAACTAGTTACAACTTAGTTTATTATTCACTGTCCTCAGGAAGACTTTCTTTTCTTTAAAAAATGTTCTAAACCACGAAGCAGAGTGATACAATCAAAAAGCCTGGATTTCATGTCAGGAACCCTGGCTTTGATTGCTGAGTGCTACTTATGTAATCTCAGGCAAGTCATTTAACCTCTATGGAGCTCATTTTTTCAAAAAGAAAACATGATTCTGCTTTGTTTGTAAAGAAATACTACTGGAATACTGTAGATGATTCTGATTCTGAAGGATATCAAGAAAAATATAACATAGATAAAAAAGTTTCATAGGAGTACAACTAAATTGCTTTAAATGAGGGGAAAGCAAAGCTTTAATTAAAAAAAAGAGTACAATCCAGGGGTGATCCAGGCTTTGTTCCAGGGCACTGACAAGTAAAGGATACTTATATAGTACATATATATATATATATACATATATATTCATGATAGGTACATCCATCCTTAATGGATACTAGAGTATTTTTATACAAATTGATAATCTTTTGAGTTTGACAATGTTATGCTCTCCCATAATTTATTCACTATTGTTTATTATTGTCTATATATACATATACTGTATGTATGTTTATATACATACATATATATAGTCTTATAAGGTAGTTTCAGACTCAGGTTCAAATTCATTATGATCATTCATTCAATAAATATTTGTTCAGCACCCAACATGAGTTAGGTACAGATGCTAGGCACTAAGGGAGACTCAGAGATGAATAAACATGATTCCTGCACTCCAGAAACCAGTAGAAGAGATAAGAAGTGTACAGAAATAGCTCTAATACAAGGGAACATGTGATAAGTGTTCTAAGAGACATAAAAATAAAATGCCATGAAGTTCAAAGGGGAGACATGCCTGTTCCTCATGAGGATTAGGAAAGGCTTCATAGATGAAGTGCCGAATGACAGACAGAAATGGAATGGGGGAGTATACCGGGCTGAGTGGCAATATATCGCCCTTATTCTGACAGTTTATAAACAAAGAGCCATCTTTTTTGTGTGTGGATGTGGCACTGTGGATATGCTAAGACTATATCATACATTTTGAGTCATTTTTCTAGTTTTGGCTATTAATTTGTTTGTATCAATCTATTCTACTATTTGGTTCCCTTTCTGACCCCATGCTACCATTCCAGGGAGCCACAGGCTCACAAGAGAAAAGTGTAGCTTTGCTCTTCAGCAACCTCTAAGTCTTTTCCCTTGGTGGTTGAAGTAGCCAAGATAGAACTATAAGTCTAAGGAACTATATAGGTCCCTGGGGAGGGCAGAGAAATACCAGTGGGAAAAGGGAGATGTCATAACTATTTATGGGCTCAGGTGCAGATATTTTGTAATTTTTTGTTTGGTTAAATAAAGCCTATCCTATGTTCAATGTCACTAGCCTGAGAACATAACGTAGAAACTGGAGGTCTGTTGTTTTTTTTTTGTTTGTTTGTTTTTTTGTTAGTGGAACTCCATATAAGCCAAATTCTTAGGTTTTTAGGGGAAATCATGAATAAGGATAAAATGAGACAAATTCAGATGTTCTCAGGGAAGACCCTAAGTGGGAAAATGAGCCAAGAGATGTTTATCTGAACCTAGTTTATATGAACTCAGAGCTACAGTTCTCAGTCATTTAAAAAGATCTATTCTTTTTCACAGAATAGATTCAAAAAAGATTCAAAGATCTATGAAATTCTATCATGATCAGTGATTTATTTGCAGCATCTGGACATTTAGCCACCCCTAGCTTGATAAACTTGGATCACACCTTTCTGTCCTGATGTTGCTTCATAACACATTGATACAACCTCACAGCCCAAAAACTCAGTATTCTTAAAAGTGGTCTGAATCTAGCAGAGTTTATCAGACACTAAAATTACCTATCTAATAGACTGCCATTTCATGAACTGGTTGTAATTGTCTCGAACGTTGTGCTGAGTTCTGGGTGCTCTCTGTAGGAAAGATGCTTATCAACTAGAGATTGTTCTGAGGGATGCAGTCAAAATGATAATAATAATTAGCTACCATTTACGTAGTGGCAGCTAGGTAGCACAGTAGGTAAAATACCAGACCTGGAGTCAGGAAGACTCCTCTTTCTGAGTTCAAATCCAGCCTCAGATACTTATTAGCTGTGTGACCCTGGGTAAGTCATTAACTCTGTTTGCTTCAGTTCTTCATCTGTAAAATGAACTGAAGAAGGAAATAGCAAACCACTCTATTGTTTTTGCTAAGAAAACTTCAGATGAGGTCATGAAGAGTTGGACAAGATTGAAGATTCAACAAGAAATTTATAGTTAAAAAAATTTTATATTTACGTATATTTATAATTATATGCGGTATTTATATAGTACTTCCTGGATGCCAGATACCATGCTAAGAACTTTACAAATATTATCTCATTTGAATCTCACAACAGCCCTGGGAGTAGGGGCCATTTTGCCTTTGAGGAAACTGAGGCAAACAGAGGTTAAGTGACTTGCTTAAGGTCAAACAGCTAGTAAGTGTCTGATGCTGCATTTGATCTTGGGTCTTCCTGACTCCAAGCCCAGTACACTCACCACTGTACCATCTTGCTGCAGATCTTGAATTTGTGCTGTAAGGTGATTAGTTGAAGCATCCTGATGAAAAGAAGACTCAGGGGGAACACAAAAAAACCTGTCTTCAAGTCATTGAAGTGCAGTCATGTGGAAAAGAGATTAAATTTGTTCTACTTGGTCCCTTAGGTTAAACTAGGAACACTAGGTGGAAATCAGAGAGAGACAAATTAAGGCTTGGTGTCAGAGAAAACTTCTTAACATTTAGAGCTTCCTCAGGACACAGTGAGTTCCCTGTTATTAGAGGTCTTCGAGCTAAATCTGTGTAACTGCTGTGTCAGTATGTTGTGGAGGGTTTTTTTTTTCCAGGTGTGAGCTGGAGTAGATGGACCTTGAATTCCCTTCCAGTTGTAAGAAGTAACAGGTGGTGTCTTTTAAAGATGACCCGAGTCATCTGAAAACCAATTTATAGTTGACCATTGGTTCATAAGGGCACTAAAAAGACTACAGAGTGACATAGGAATCCAAGAGCACTGTCCATCTTGGGTGAAGCATTAGCTTAGTTCCACTCAGCTCCACAATGTGGGCACTAGGGTCTAACTAGCACTCATTGCAAAGCTCCTTAAAAGAAGCTTTTGCTATTGGATTTAACAGGACCAATTGGAGGTAGGTCTTCTCAGCCTTAAATTGGCCGTGGGCCTCCTCAAATCATTTGGACTCTACTACTTTCTTGTAGATGTCTCTTCCTCTCTGTCTGCTTCCCCCACCTTACCACGGGCCTTCATTATTACCCATTTATGCTTATACAACAGTCTTTGAATCAGTTTTGTGACTTCCACCTCCTGTCTATTCTTTGCATCACTTGCTAAATTAATCTTCCTTATACAAAACATATACAAAAACTGATCATGGCATTTCCCTGCTCAAAACCCTTCAATGGCCTCCTATGACTTGCTAAATAAAAGTCAAGCATCTTAGACTGTCATTCAAAACCTTTACAAGCTGACACTACCCTACCCTAATAGGCTTATCTCATGGTATTCCCCTTTGCATAATCTATGCTTTAGCCAAACTGGACAACTCACTCTCCCTTGTATACACTGCCCCCACCCATGCCTTCCTGTTTCTACACCTTTGCACATGCTGTTTGTACTCTATGTCCAGAATGTCTTCCCCCACATCTCTGTTGAAATTTTGCCCATTTTTTAAAGTCCAGCTCAAATGTTACCTCTTTGACAAAGCTTTTCCTGTTTCTCTTCTATCTCACAGCCTGTCAGGATTGCTCTTTCTCCCAAGAACCTCACACAGGATTCCATGCCTCTTTTATATCCCTATGTATTATACTGTATTATACTTACTTGGGAACGTGTTTATAAACTCATCTGTCAGGTAGTCCTATGAATATTGTAGTTTATCAGAAAGAGCCACATAAAGTTAATAGTGGCTCTTTAGTGATACTGTGGGCATCTGGAACCTCCCAAGCATGTCAGAACCATGTGTCAATGCACCTGCCTACTTTTTTTTTTTGAGGCATCATTTTTACAATGATTTGACCTTCATGGACTGAATAGTTTTATGTAGAATCTTTGTCCACTTATCTTTTAAATTTTATATCATTGATAAATTTTGTTTGATACCTCATGTAAAATTCTTGTGTGCTCCCAATTGAATCTTTCACAATATATTGTATAATCACCAAAAGTAGTTTAGTAAAGCAACTGAGTGATTATGACCAATGATAGTCTTATAGTTTAATAGTTTTCCACAAGTACAACTTTTGCTCTGTTTGCCACAGGGATGAGACGGAACAGTAAATAATAATTCTAGTACTTTTGGTACCTGGGGATTTCAGGAAGAGACCTTAGATTCTTTCTCTTAAGACCCCATGATACTACTCATGGTGGGAAGATAGAATCTTAGGAACACCCTAAGGCTACTTCTGGGGAAGCCACTGCTATAACAGGGTGGGCTGGGCAGGGAGGAGCACATCTGTACTTCAGAAAAGCCTCACGATCATCAGAGCTGGGATATGCCAACGTGTGCTTTTCTTACACTACAGGTGACCTTTGTGGAGCCATTCCCAGTCTGGTATTTGGAGGAGTGGCGCATTTCCCAGAAAACCTATCCTTAACCTGATGAGAGAGATGTCAGGCTAAGGACAGAGTGCTGAAGGAAGCTGAGGCAAGGATCATCTCCTCCAACCTAAGATGCAACAAGACTGTGCCTTGACTGCAGCAGAGGGTCACTAAGCTCTGGACGACCCGTACAGCAGTAGGATCGTTGTATGTGGGTGTAGGGTGGAGGTGGCAATGCTAGTGCTACAGATAGAGGGAGTCATATTACAAAGTCAAAAAAGGATCAAAAAAGGTACAGGAGAAATACTGGTGGGAAACGTCATCCCACCCCTAAGACGTCAGGTGTCCTAGAGCAAAGTTGATCTACTCTAGCTATGATTCAGGTATGAGGTGGTACTCAAGTTGTTTTAATTTGCATTTCTCTGACTGTTAGCAATCTTGAATACTTCTAAAGTATTTTTTGATAGTTTTGTGTGCTTCTTTTGAGAGCTATTTGTTAACATTCTTTTATCACTTAACTATTAGGGAATGACTCTTAATGTTTTGGATTTATGGCAATTCTGAATGCATTTTGGATTATAAATTTTTATCAGTCATGTTCTGGGCAAAGATTTCCCCCATTCCGTGTTTCCCTTAGTATTCTAGCTGTGTTTCTTTATGTTTATATAATTGAAATATTCTATTTTTATGTTATGATATTCAATATGTCAGTGCTAGTTTTAAATTCATACCCATCCATATTTCTGGAGGATATAACCTATTCTCTCATTTTTAGAGGTATTTCTTTCTATATTTAACATAAATATGACATGAAGAATACAATGCTGAACTTGGATGGAATACTTAAGTTTTGAAAAACATTTTACATAATCTCATTTGATCCTCACAACCACCATATGATGTAGGTACAATTGAATTGCTATTATTTTCCTCATTTTACTGATGAGGAATCTAAATCAAAAGAATTAAGTAACTTGTCTAGATTGATGCAAATAGTGTCAGAATCAGGGTTTGAACCCAGGTCTCATCTCACAGAAAAAATAGAGACCACCATCTTATCTATTCTATAACTCAAAATCCAATAAAATTATCCCCTACTCTTTCCTTCTTTATTTCAGTTTCTAGACAGGATCAAGACCTCTCTGCCCTTTATCTAATTCCCACTCATCTCCCCCAGCAGCTTGTCCCCTCTCTCTCATTTTTAATCTCACCATCTATTAATTCCTCCCCTGATGTCTACAAATATAGCTAGGTTTCTCTTATCCTGAAAAACAAAACCCCCTCAAAACCTTCATTTGCCATCCCTCCAAGCAAATGTCTTAAGTCTACAGCAAAATTCCTAGAAAAAGCCCTCTGTGTTGTCTATTTCTTTCCTCTCAATCATTTCTCAGCCCCTTGCTATCTGGCTTCTGACCTCACCACTATACTATATTCTCCATTGGACCAAGAGGTCCAAATGACCTCTTAACTGCTAAATCTGATGGTTTATTTTCAGTCCTCAAACTCTTGGACTCTTTGCAACATATGATATTATTGAATACCTCTTCCTTCAGGACACATCTCTTCCCTAGGTTTTTGTGAAATTTCCCTCTTTTGGCTTTCCTTCTATCTGATTGTTCCTTCTCAGAATCTTTGCAGAATCATTATCCATAGCCAGATACTCAAGTAGGGGTGGCCTCCAATGGCTTTGTCCTAGGGTTTTTTTTTTCTATACTGTTTCTTTCAATAATCTCATCAAGTCTCATGGATTCAATTATCTCTTTGCAAGACTCCCAGATCTATATATTCAGCCCTAGTCTCTTTCCTAAGTTCCATTCCCAAATCACCAATTGCCTGTTGGATATCTCCAACTAGATATCCCATGTGTATCTCCAGTTCAAAATGCACCAAATGGAACTCTTAAAATCTTTTCCTCTAAATCCACCCCTTCTCCAAACCTCCTCGTTTCTATTGAGGGCAATACCATCTTTTCACTTAGGTCTACTTGAAGAGGCTATTCTAAAATCTATTATGTTTCAACTAAATATAGAAAATCAGGAGTTTTGAGCATGACTAGGTATAAAGTAATAATGGACATTGATCTTATTAAAAGAACCAAACTGGGAAACTACATTATACTAAAAGCACTAGAGAAAATGAAATGATATCCATATTAAATATGTATGGGTAGGGACTGGATCTATGATTTCATTGGTATATGTAACTCCCAAGTGAAGAAATTTCCTCTACCAATGCAGGTCAGCACCTTCTCTGCAACATATAATCTAAGAACTTTACCTAGAGCACCGAGAGGTTCTAATATTATTATATATTCACTAAATGCCATTTTCCCCTGCTATGAAATAATGTTTTCAGCTCATTTTTCATTTGCAGAAACTAAGATATATATATAGAGAGAGAGACACACAAGCATATATACACATATATACGTACATACACATATGTGGAGAGAAGGAGAAAGAAAGAAGGGGGAGCAGTGTGGCTTAATGTATAGAGTCCCCATCTAGGAGTTGAAAGGGAAGAAAGGAGAAGGGAATAAGTGCTCGTGTGTGTGTGTGTGTGTGTGCTTGTGTGCGCGCACGTGCGCGCCTGTGTAGTGCCTACTATGTTCTAGGCACTGTGCTAATCACTTTACAAATATCTCTTTTGATTCTCACAACTTTGCAAAGTAGTTACTTTTATTATCCCCATTTTAGAGTTAAGAAAACTGAGGCAAACAGATGTTAAGTGACTTGCCAGAGTCACACAGATAGTAAGTGTCTGAGGCTGGATTTGAGCTCAGGTCTTCCTGACTCCAGTTGGAGTACAGAAGGCTTCAGTTCAAATCCTGACTTTTGGACCCTCTGGACTTTGTAACCCTGGGCAAGTCACTTAACCTCTCAATGCCTCAGGCAACTCTCTAGGTCTCTAAGGTGCAGAATAGTTACAGAGCTACAGGGGCAGAAATTCCCTACGCCAGCGAAATAACAGGCCCATATGTGTGCACATACATATACATACATGTTTTCTATGTATATATGTACATGGATGAATATTCTGTAAAGGCGATTGAAAAGCAGTGCCATGGGAGAACCAGAGCAGAGAAGTGGCACAAAATCCCAGGGAAGAGAGAATATCCCAATGTATGGGGAGCTCAACAGTGCCAAATGCTGCAATGTTCAAGGAAGATGAGGACTGAGAATAAGCCATCAGAATTATCCTTTAATGGGGGCAGCTAAGTGGCGCAGTGGATAGAGCACCGGCCCTGAAGTCAGGAAGACCTGAGTTCAAATCCAGCCTCAGACCAAACACTTGACACTTACTAGCTGTGTGACCCTGGGCAAGTCACTTAACCCCAATTGCCTAAAAAAAAAAAAAAGAAAAGAAAAAAAGAAGAATTATCCTTTAAGAAATCATTGTCATACACAGAGCACCATTCTGGGTTTCCCAAAAGTTACCTCAGATTCTATGCATTTGTAGGTCAAAATTTTCTCCAAAGCATACTCCTCAGCATCTACCAATACATTTTAGTTTTACCGGTGGGCCATAGTACTTACTTAGTTTACAGTATTTCAATTAAACAGCAGTGTTTAATTAATTAAATCACTGTACATTCCTTTAATATACCTTGGACTTGAGTGTACCTCTATAGGAATTAAGGGTCAGATATCTAAAAATGAAGAATAAATGAATAAACAAATGAAAGAATGATGAAACATTGATTAAGTGATGGCAATGTGCCAAGTCCTGCACTGAACATTGAGAATACAAATACAAAAAATGAAGACAATCTTTGTCCTTAAGGGACTTCTATTTTGCAGTCCTCAACTCGAGTCTCATCTTCAGGGATATTTGTGCCTCATCCATTTGTTGGAGATTCTGTGCTTAGACAACCTTTCCTAGGTGGAGAGGACCAGAGCTCTCCTCAAACAGAATTCTCAGCCAATGTCTATGAAACTCACTATTCTCCTCAGCCAGGCTTCATCAGAAAGTACAAAAAGAGCTAGAGACAGGAGGCTGAGATCAGACTTCTTTGAACCCCTTTTGGAACTCTTTTATCAACTGCTCCTTTTCAGCTCTGAATTTAACTAAACTGTCCTCTACCTCTTCCCCAGGGAATTTTATTCCAGCTGTGTCTTATAACTGATGGTCAGAAACTTATGTTAATTCTTAGGTCTTGCCAGACCCCTCTTGCCCATCCCCCAGCTGAGGTAAATCTCCCCAGAACTCTACCGCCTCAAACGAACAAAGGGATCGAGAGGCACTATAGTAAAGAAACTACTTTATCCTCATCCCAGAAGCCTCTCTGTTCTCTGTAAAATAGCAACAATTGTGCTGGTTGTTTAATTCTGAAATGTTTTTGTTCTTAGTCCTATACCCTTCGTAAAACTTCCCCTCCGTCTCCCCCATTATAATGACTGGGAGTTCCTTGAGAGAAGGGACTGCTTTTGCCTTGTATCCCCAGAACTTGACACAGTGCCTGGCACACAGTAGCCATTTAATAAATGCTAGTTGAATGACTGGGGACACAACATGTAAACGGATAATTATTTGCATGGTCATTTGAGAAAGGAGAGAGCACAAAAGGATCTAATGTATTTATTTTGCTAGATAAGGTCTCTGGAATAAATGCTTATTTGCAGCAAATGCATCTGATGAAATGAATTAATTAGCCTACATTTGTCTACTGTACTGTGAACGAACTAAATGTCTTTTTGGCTTTATTTTAAGAGGGGATAGGAAAGGACGGAAGGGGATGTGGGTGAGAAGTTGCTTGAAAAGATAATGAGCAGAATATGGGCAAAACCTTTTATCTAGTCCCAACAGAAATAAGAAAGGCATGATTCATATGACAGCCTGCAAAAACTATGAAAGCCCATGAATAATTGATAGAATTGCCAGATGAAGATGGCTCCTTGCCAACTTGTGCCTCTTAATATCTCTATATCCTCAACTCCCAGTTGGGACAACTTTGATTAAAAAATTATTTTAGTAACAAATATTAAATTCAACAAATATTTTATTAAGTATCTGCTATGTACAAAGCTTATTACAGTATTGTCTGATATGTTGGTATAATAATTGAGTAACCGGTTAAGAATATTTCTTTTCTAATTCCTAATAAACAAAGTTCAGGAAGGATAATATTTTATACAGATCTCTATACTTGGCTATTAAGGTCTCAGCATACACATTCATGGAATTAAAATTTGAGTAATCTATTGTTCATTAAAATATGGGATCATCTATTTAATACTTCTGAAAATTCATAGCAGCAAATCAGAAAAAAGTTCCATCTTTGTGCATAACATTTCAACCTTTGTTCAGTAAGGCTTTGGTTATTCTAGGTAAAGAAAAATGAGAGAAAAAAATGTTTTTTCTTTGTTTTCTTATAGGTCTTGAACCAGATTACCTTTTTATTTACATGACAACTGCTATAGACTCCTAAAAGAGTTGGAAGGTCATCTAGAGGTCATCTAGCCTAATCTCCCACCTCATGCAGGTCTACTGTTCATATCATCCCTGACACGGTTGGTTAGTCTTTGCCATCCACGGGGAGCTCAATGAAGTATTTCAAGTAAAACAAGCTATTTGTATTGTTTTTTTTTCTTCAAATATCCCTTAGTTTGCAGATTGCTTTTTGCCTGATAAAATATCTATCTGGGACCACACCTTACCTTTGGAACCACCTCCCCAAGGTGGACGTGTTTTTGTCTTTGAAAGATGACCAGTGAAAACACTCACCAGGTGGCAGAGAAGTTTTGGAAATAATGACTTAAGCAGAGACAAACTCTTGATGTTTTCCCCTCCCAAAGAGCGTGACACAGTGAGAAAAAAAAAAAGAACAAAAAACAAAGAACAAAACCACAATCACCAATGAAATAAGAGAGGTTAGCTCTTTCAAGAACTCTTAGTCACTATTCTTCGGAGGCATCGAAGCCAAAGTAATAGGGGAAGCTGTTTGGTGGAATGAGGTAAAACTAACCAAATTCAGGACCTGGTAAATAAAGGAAAAGAAGATGACTCAAGAAGTCAATCTGAATTCCCTCAAGGAACTGGAACGTGAGATGGTACTTCAGGTGTTGTACCGAGATCAGATGGTGCAAAAGGTTGAGGAGGAGAGGATAAGGTATGTCGACATTTGAGCACGTCATGGTTTTGTTTTCTCTGTCTTGGTGTCACCCTTTTTATTGCATTTTTTTCTCTTCTGCTACTCTTAGAGAAACCAACAAGTGGGTGGGTTACTTGGAGAAGTAGCCTCTGAGAAAGTCCATAGGCTGAAGGAGTTGGGGTAGAGGTCACCATCCCTGTCCATCTGAGATCAAAAGTGGACAGGAAGCTAGGGACCTGTCTTTCTTAGTCATTTTCAAATGATGCTTTGCTCTAACAAATGTTGCTTCACTGACTGGGGGTATCCTTCAATATACTCCAAAGGGCAAGTACCCTATAGTTAAGGACTTTTCACTCCAGTATTTGGTGACAGAATTGGGAATTTGTTGGTTAAAGGTGCAAAACTGCTTGATGCTGAGTAGGCTGCCAGCTCAGGTGATGAGATGCCAATATATGCCGATAAACAAGCTCACACCCAGTTTGTCAGCCCAAAGTCCGTATCTCCTCATTTTTGTGGCAGTGCGTAGCTTCTGGATTTGGGGGAGATAGAGGCTTATTTATATATGCGCCCAACACTTATCTTTCCACATAACCACCAGCCAATAAGAGGAGCTAATATAGTTGACAGTTTGTGGACTTGCCTTCTCAGTTTTTAGTTTTCTCTTTGTTTATAGGGCTCAGTTAAAGGGAAATGTTGGGGATTTTATGCATTTAGAGCTGAAAGGAACCTTAGAGGTCATCTGATCTAATCTTCTCATTTTACAGATGAAGCAGCTGAGTCCCAGAGAGGTTAAGTAAGTTGCTCAAAGACACTGATCTAGTGAGTGAAAGAGGCAGGGCACAAACCCAGGGCTGACTCCAGAGTCATTGATCTTCCTACTACATTATGTTCTTAAGAGTTTAAGGAGTTTTAAACCTTGGGAATTCTTCATTTTACACATGGGAAAACTGAAGCCCGGAGATGAGGCCCAATAACCTCTTCTTTGCTGACATCTTTAAATAATTTTTGCATTTGAGTTTGCATTTGAATTGTAAGGACAAAAAGCTGGAGCAGCAGTAAGAAGGGATTAAGTGAATGTGAAGAAATGACCTTTTCTTAAAAATTGCTGATCTGCCCTTCAAAGAGGTCATTCTGTGCACTCTTTTGTCCATTTGACTGAGTAGCAAGGCTTAGGAATGGGGGTAGGGGAATGGTCAATGAAATGAGCAAGCAGCCTGGAGACATTACTTAAAATATAAATGTAGACAATTTTTTTTCATGTTTCTTGCCCCTCTCTCTGCTTTCTAGAACGAAGGACATTATTACATGTAAATCTCTTTGATCTGTAAAGAGGAATTAGAAAAGAATTATTACTAGAAACTGCTTCCATCTTTCTGTCACTATAAACATTTTCCCACTATTTAACAAACACTATCGTTTAATAAGGCCATGTTAATATATATTTAAACTATGCCCACATTTGTCAAGTACTTCAAAGTTACAAAGTGCTTTTTTTATACATATATGTACATTATCCATCTGGACCCTCACCTTGGCTCCCATCAGATAGATAGCACAAATATTATTAGCCCCATCTCGAAGATTTGGAAACTTAGATTATGAGAGATGAAATAGCTTGCCCAAACCATACGGCCTGTATATCCTGGAATTGGAACTCCTGTCTGTAGATTCTCTGACCTTTCTACTCATAACTGAATAGATGTGGGATTTTATGTATGTGTGAATATGTATGCATATACATGCTGGCTTTTCAGACAAACCCAGTATTATGCTGGTGCTTTGTGCTTTTCTTAATGCTTTTGAAAGAGATGTGGTATTAAACAGGGGGAGACACAATGAATCCTTTCTTCATTAGGTTAAGTGGCAGAAGTTTTAGACTATGTCAATACAATAAAAAATATGAAGAAAGAAACCTACTTATAATGTCATTGCAGAATCTGACTACTCAGAGAAGGGGTATTTAAATTTTCTGGTTATCTGGAAGCCATCCAGAGAACCATTTTCATTTCAATTCTTACTGTTGAAAAACCTTCCAAATGCATTCATAGATTTTTCTGCATCAGTGAGTAGAGTGACTGGAGAAGATCAGGTCTTCTTTCATCATCAAGGAGCTGTCAGTGACTTGGAGCCATTTTTCTGAACAGTAGTTCTCATCATCTAGTCATATAGATAGCCATAGGAGGAAAGGAATCATAGAATCCTAGAATGGTGGGACTGGAAAGAATCCCTTTTTAAAATATATTTTTATTGATATCTTTTATTTTTACATAATCTAATTTCCCAATGTATCCTCCTCCTTTCCCATCCAGAGAAGTATCCTTTATAATAGAAAAGAAGGGGGAAAAAGTTCACAAAAACTAACCAGCATAATGACAGAGTCTGACATTATATGTAGTGCATACCCATAATCCCCCACTTCTGTGGGGGAAGTACCTTCTCATATCTTTGCATTGAGGCCAAGCTAGACCATTATAATTTTGCAGCATTCAGTTTCAATTGTTTGATTTTTATTCTTTCCACTTGCCATACACATTGTAATAGACATTGTGTATATTATTTTCCTGGTTCTGCTTCCTTCATTTCGCCATCAGTTAATTTTCATGTTAGTCTTTCTGCGCTTCTCTCTATCATGTTCATTATCTCTTACAGCACATTAATGTTTCATTCCATTCATCTATCATTGATAGGCATCTACTTTGCTTTCTAGAAGTAGTCTTAGAGATTACCCAGCTTAGTCCCCTCATTTTTCAAACAACAAAACTGAGACCTAAAATGAAGAAAATTGTTCACAGAATGTCCCAACCCCAGTACATCATCAGGGGGAAATTTTTCTTAAAGAAATTCCCAATATGAGCTTGTTTTCTTGTGATTTTTTTTCTGGGTTCCTTAAGGCTCTTATACCTTCCTTAAAGATAGTGCTTGACATGTAGCACTATATAAATGCTTATTCCCTTCTCCATTGTCTTTATTTATCTTTTTCATGACTCTAGCACAAGCCCAGCCCTTTGACAGTGTAGCAGAGTGGAAAGGGAGATGAAATCAGCAAGCTTTGGGGTGATACTTGTATTACCTTCCTCATGGGGTTTTGGGAAGGAAAACATTTTGTATGCTATATAAATAGAAGCTGTTATCATTTGTCCTGGCCTTTTGATTTCATTGATGTAGGGAGGTTCCCTCTACCAATGCAAATCAGCAACTGTTTCTTCAATTTAGGGATAAATTGAAATAAATTCATCACCTATTAAGCAGTCTCTCCAGGGTTAGGCAAGCTGGTCATGGGATGACACAATAGACTTCAAAGATCTCGCCTTCTCTGATAGAGTCTAATAGTTTGCAAATAACTTGGTTAACCAATCTGGACTGCTTATCCATCAACGAAGCACAGTGCATTTCCCAGAAGTGTGACTTGAACCCAGGTCTTTCTGACTCAGAGCCCAATTTTCTATCATACAGTGTTGCTTCTTTAAGATAATATTAGATACCTAATAAATATTTGATAGAATGAGAAGGTTTGAAGTATGCTAGGCTTAAGTGTTTTGGATAACAATAAAAAAAGTTTCAGACCAAATTACCCATAAAATAGAGATAATAGTAATTGTGCTCTCTATTTTATAAGCTTATTATAAGAAAAAACATCACTGTAAGCTAAAAAGCATTGTAAATTCTCATTATTAGGGAACTTAGAGAATCGAAAATTTGTCCTTCCCTTGAGACTTAATACTACCTTTTTTCCCCATGTCTTTCCTGCTTTTCTTTCTCACTACTTTATTTTGGGGGTGGTAGTGGTGGAATTACTATTATATATTATTATACATTGCAGTAATATATTATATTATGTAATACATATCATTATATGTATATGGAATATATTATATGATATTATATGCGGTATAATTATGCAACACATATTTTACGTGTAACTGTAACATGTTGTATTATATAAGCATATTATATGCATTATGATATATTTAATACATATTCTACACATACATGTGATATATTATATAAATACATTATGATATGTACCACATGTATTATAACATGAAACACGTGCTTATATGTATATGTAGTAATTATGTTATTACGTGCATTATAATTTGTTATAATATGCTATGCATTTTATACATGTGTATTCTTATATAATTATATTATTATAACATGTAACATATTAATTGTAATGTTATTAAGATGTTTTATGATTAATTAATTGATTAAGATTAATATTATTAAGAATATATTATACTATATTACTACTGTAATCCAATGTGCCTTGTTTGGAGGGAGTGAGAATGGAACAAAATTACCCTGTGGAGACAGGATTGAGGGGTAATGTCAACTTGTGCTAAATTATGTTTTGTCATTTGGTCCCATGGGTTCACAGGAAGCTGAAATTGCACCTGCAGGATCTTCGATGGAGACCAGCGAAGAACACAAATCAGGAATACAAAGAGAAGTTCTGCGCACGGTGCCAGAAATCTCTGGGCTTGGTGATAAACCGAGGAGGTGTATGCCAGGGCTGCAGCCATCGAGTATGTTCCGAGTGTCGGGTCTTCCTGAGGAAAACCTACATGTGGAAATGCACTGTCTGCTTCGCTGATGGGTGAGCAGTCCAGATTGGTTAACCAAATTATTTGCAAACTAGCAGTTGTTGCTATGCTTACCAAGTCTATTTGACATAAAGCTGGGAGGGGCAGCTAACATTGGACAACGAAATCAGTGATATCCAAGAGATCTTGACAGTTTGTCATGATGGGTCATATTTAATAAAACAAACTTCATTAGGAATGTGTAAAGTTCTACTCTTAGGTTTAAAAAAAACCCAATTGCACAAGGCCTCTCTGGAGGAAGCATGGCAAAAGAAGGTTTCTTATAATCTCTTGATCTGGAGATTTTAGTGAACCTCAAGCTCAGTGTGAGTCACCAATATAATAAAGTGGCCAAAAATTCTCATGTGACCTTAGGCTGTATTAACAGAGACAGTGTCCAGAATAAGAGAGGTGATCACCCAACTATACTCAGCCCAGGTAGGACCACATCTGGAATTCTATTCTGGGCAACCTGGAGTGTGTCTAGAAGAGGGTGACCAGGAGAACAAAAAAATCTGCGCCTCATATTACATTAAGATCGCATGAAGGAATTTGCAGGTCTGTAAGTAAGTAGACTTGTTAGAGATTTTGTAGAAAGCATTACCGTGCAGGTATAGTTAGATTCTGGAACACCTTCGATGTTCTTTTCACTTCTGTAATCCTATGATAATAAAGGATGAAGAAAATCAAACTTGAAAATTATGGTCACTTACAGAAGTTTTGTCATTAGATCATGAGCTTCTTGAGGGCAGGGACCATCTTTTGCCTCTTTTCATATTCTCAATGTATAGCACAGTGTCTCGGGCACATGGTAGGTGCTTAATCAATGTTTGTTGACTGTCAAATTATTAAACAGAGTGTAGGCTAAAAGTCTTTTACCCAGGGCTACTGATTTCTTTAGGTTGCTTGGATTTCTTAGTTCCTCAGTTTAGCTCTTCTGTAAAATGGTGTTAATTTAGGACCACCCTATTTCAGGACAAGGAGATATGACTTTACACAAGACATGCTTGAATTGGGCTACCTTTATGCCTCTATCTTGTCTCGGCACAGAGACAGAGGGTACCGTGTGTAAGTTCTTTTCCTTAGTCATAGCAAAACCACATCTTGGGATCCATCTGTGGATTAGTTCCTCCTTCTCTTCCTTTCACTTTGTGCGGTTCCTGTTCCTCTAGATCCTTTAATGACCCTAAAGGGGTTGGAAAAGATCACCGCAGAAGGAGCTGGAAACAAGCACTTCTTTTCCAAGTGTTCCTAACACATCTGCCATGGGTAGCACTCAGGTCTCACTGACTTCAGTTCCAACTCTCTAGCCACTGGACCTCCTAATTGCTTTGTGGTCCCAAGGCACGGGGAACATCCATTAAATGATAACTAACATTTGTAGAGAGCTTTAAAATATATGTTACCTCATCTGAACTTCATAACAACTTTGTGAGGTAGGGGCTATTATTTTTCCCATTTTACAGATGAGGAACCCAAGGCTGAGAGAGGTTAAATAACTTGCCCAGAATCATATAGAGAGTATCTAAGAAAAGATCTAAATTCAGGAATTCCTGACTCCAAATCTAGGACTCTTTGCACTGCACCATTTAGCTGTCTAATGTTGTAATAGAAACTTTATCAGGTGAAAAACACAACTAAATGGAAGGGGAATTAACATTACATTCATATGAACATACACTAGAGCAGAGTTTCTGAACTTTTTTTGTATCATAGACCTTTTTGGCAATCAGGTAAAGCCTATAAATGGAAATTTCCCACCAGACAATTTCATGGACCCTCTAAAATTTTTTTGTGGGGCTTGGAGCATATAAACCCCAGATTAAGAGCCCCTGAATTAGAGGGAAGTTGGCTGTTTTCTTGGAGATTAGACTCTATCAGGAAAGGAGAGATCTTTGAAATCTATTGTGTCATCCCATGACCAGCCTGCCTAACCCTGGAGACATTGCTTAATTGTTCATGAATTTATTTCGGCCACAGCAGCTCAGAAGAGGATGCACCTCTGTCCTCATCCCCAGTGGGGAAATCACAGAGCTTGTATTTGGCCCCCCACCAGACAAGTTCATGTACTCCCTGAAATCTTGGGGGAGACCCCTTGGGGCTTGTGGGCCCCAAGTTAAGGAGCCCTTGCATTAGAAGAAAGTTGCCTATTTTCTGGGAAGATTAGACTCTACCAGGGAGGAGATCTTTGGAGTCTATGGTACAAATTTTAGCATTTCAGCTTCAGTACCTCACAAGCTCTGTGATTTCCCCTCTGTGAATAAGGACAGAGACTTCATCCTTTTTGCACCTTCATGAGCTGCTGTGATCAAAATAAACTGTCTCCTGGGGTGCAGTCTCTCTAGGTCTAGGCAGACTGGTCGTGGGTTGACAGAATTCTCCTGTGTTGCAAGCCCATTCAAGCTTTTCCAGCTTGGAAAGATCTGCCGGGGCTTTGGATCCACTTTAAGGACCCAGAGGGACATTCCAGACACAATCTGATATTAGGGCAGACTGCAAGCAGAGACGCAGAATGCCAGAGTTGGAAGAGGCCTCAAAGATCACCCTGGCACAAGCTCTTAGGCTCATAGAGTAGGTGAGGACATTAGAGGCCACTCATTTTCTTTTTTCCACATTTATTATTTTTTTAAAAAAAATCTGAACTTGACAGGGATCAAATAAGAAGAGCATTTATATATACAAAATAGAACAGAAAAAGAGGACTGCACATGGAGCTGCAAATCTGAGTAACATACAGCTTGTTGACTTCTTTTTCTGTCTATAATAAATTCTTTTATTGTTGTTTTCTTGTTTTATGTTTTATGTATTCTTTTAAAGGCTTTTTAAATTTTATTTTTTTTCAATGAACAAAAATATTTTTTCTCTTCTCCATTCTCTCCTCCCATTAAAAAAAAACCCCTTGTGACAAATAAGCATAGTCAAGCGAAACACATTTCTACATGAGTCATATCCAAATATATATCTCATTATGTACCTTAAGTCCATCACTTCTCTTTCAGGAGGTAAATAGCCAACTTCCTCATCAGTCCTCTGGAATCCTTGTTGCAGTGGATCATTTTTAAGTCTCTCGAAAGTTGTTTGTGTTTATAATGTTGTTGTTATTGTATACATTGTTCTGGTTCTGCTTACTTCACCCTGCATCAATTCTACAAGTCTTCTCAGATTTCCTTGAAACTGCCCCTTTCATCATTTATTACAACACAATAGTACATCATTACATTCATCTATCACAATTTTTTTCAGTCATTCCCCAATTGATGGGCACCTCCTTAGTCTTAACATGTTATTTTCAAAATTGATTTGCTTGTTTGTTTCTTACTCATTTTCCCTCTGCTCTCATTTATACATTTGAAAAATACTTCAACACCCTTCTTTTCTAACTTTGTTTTATTTTGTTAACCCTATCACTAGCCCTCTCTCCTCTTCCCACTTCCCCTTCCAAAAAAATTGAAAAAATCAAAGCCCATGTATCAAATATGCATTTTCAAGCAAAACAAAATCTCAGATTTTTGATGTATGAAAAATATACCTTGAATTCATCACCTCTCTGTCAGGAACCAACCCCATCACTTCACAGATGAGGAAACTAAAGCCCAAGGAAGAGATATGACTTCCCCAAGATCATACAGGATATAAGTGGAAAAGTAGTGATTTGAATCCAGGCCTTCTGACATGAAATCCATCACTCTTATCATGAACTATAATGACTTTTATAGATGAAGAAGCTAAAATCCTAAGCAATTTGCCTAAGGTCACCTAGGTTCTAAGTGTGTGTTAAGGGATGCCCTGAAAACATGATTTGTAAACACAAAGGCTGATGAAGCTTCATTACATCTTGTTTCTAAGATGTAATGTAAGATGATTGTAAGATGACTTGGGCAAGTCACTTAATCTTGATCAGTTTCCTCATCCATCAAATGAGCTGGAGAAGGAAAATGGCAGACCACTTCAGTATCTTTGCCAAGAAGACCCCAAATGGGGTCACAAAAAATCATCTGGACACAACTGAACAAAAACAAATGACCTTTAACAATTCATGTTTCTATTGCATTGTAAGTGCAAAGCGCTTTACTTACATTATGTCATTTGATCCTTGCAATAACTCTGTAAGGCAGGCTGTAGTTAATCTTCACCTACAGATGAGGAAACTGAGGCTCTGAGAAGTTGAATAATTCACCTAGTATCACAAAGATACAAAGTTTCTGAGGTTGTATTTGAACTGAGGTCTCTTGACTCTACGTCTAGCATTCAAGTCACTATACCATATTGCTTCTTATGTAGCACAGCTACCCCTCTACATCTCACATTTCTTGGATTTGGTTAAGTTATTAAAGCCCTTTGTGCTTTAATAAACACAACAGAGCCCAAACTAATATGGGCAAACGGGGCTTTGGCACGCATTGGAATGGGATTGGAGGAAGGAATGAGCTTTTTGTCTAGGAGGTACATTTCCTTACCATGAGAAACTCCCATCTCCTAAGAACATCTTAATCCCCATATTTCACTTCCTGTTCCTCCGGAAAGTTGGCACAGAATTGGTCCCAAAGGATTCTGTGGGGGAGAGTCTCCATCTCCCAGCACAACTGTACCCAAGGTAGTACTGTCCCTTCTGCTCCACCTCTAATGTTTCATGTAAAAAACTGCCTTATAGGGTTATTGTAAGGATCAAATGACATAATGTAGGTAAAGTACCTCTCTGTCCCAACTCATTTTTTCCCAGATTCTATTTCAGCTAGTCAAGTATCTATTGAAGGAAAAACAAAGTTATTGTTGTAGGACAAGTCTATGAGAAGGACTTGTATTGAATGGCAGGCTGGTCTTTGCTCTGAAGAAAATATATAGAGATTCTTAAGAATCTAACCAAGATGGCAGAGGGAAAGCAGTGACTTGTTTGAGCTCTCCCCCCAAACCCTTCCAAATACCTATAAAAAATGACTCTAAACAAATTCTAAAGTAGCAGAACCCACAAAAAGACAGAGTGAAACAAATTTCCAGCGAAAGACAGCCTGGATGG